TTGGCCAGCCGGCCCGGAGCATAAACTGGGATTATCTGACGAGCTAGAACCTCCCCTCCCCTAACTTCAACCCTCAGTGCAGATGAGCACTAACACGGCAACAAGGTGGAGACTTGGCTTCCATGTTTTCTCAGCTTGCACGTGGGTATATTTTCACACGGCGAATCTTTCTTGAGACCTTTTTTATCTTTATTATCCTGTGCTGACCGTCTTTCTGTGTGGTGGAAGCAAGATTGCTTAGAGCTTCAGGCACCGGCCGGTGCCCCGTTCAGACACCAGCGCTCACCTGCACCAGACACTCCCCAAGGCTCGGCGCCAATACCTGCCCTGGTGGCTTCCGCGAACCTAGAACCTAATCGCTGGGTCTGGCTGTGGTCGGAATGTGAACTGCTATACTTTGGTTTATTGAAAGGAACCAAAAATCATTCTCTGCTCTTGGACGAAGCCCCAGGGCATCAGCCTGCCTGACTTGCTTATTATCAAATGGAACTGTTGCTTTATAGTTTTTACAATAAAAGTAATAGTTTCTTTAAAAAAATTTTTTTGGGGGGGTAATTAGGTTTGTTTATTTTTTGTATTTTTATTGAAGTATAGTCAGTTTACAATGTGCCAATTTCTGGGGTACAGCATAATGCTTCAGTCATACATGAACATACGTATATTCATTTTCATATTCTTTTTTGCCATGAGTTACAAGATATTGAATATAGTTCCCTGTGCAGTACAGTATGTACTTGTTGTTTACCTATTTTATATATAGTAGTATCTACAAATCCCAAAGTCCCAATTTATCCCTTCCCAGCCCTTTCCCTCGCTGGTAACCATAAGTTTCTTTTCTATGTCCATGAGACTGTCTCTGTTCTGTAAATAAATTTTTTTTTTAAGATTCCACATATGAGTGATATCATATAGTGTTTTTCTTTCTCTTTCTGGCTATTTATTTTTAATGGAGGTACTGGGGATTGAACCCCAGACCTCGTGCATGCTAGGCACGCACTCTACCACTCTACCACTAAGTTATACCCTCCCCACCAAAAATAACATTTTCTTAATATCCACTTGTGCCTGCAAACCTCAGTTCATTTTCTCCTCCCCTCTCTCTTTGTGGCTATTTGTTATTCCTCTGAGGTTATTAGGTGTTAGATTTTTAACGTTTTCATTATGGAAGTTTTCAAACGTATGCAGAAGTAAAGAGAACAGCACAGGGGACCCTTGCATACCCCTCACCCAGCTACAGCCATCACCCATTCATGCCCAGTCCTCCTTGAAATACATCCTCACCCCCTTAGACTCCCCGTATTATTTTATTTTATTGAAGTATAGTCGATTTACAGTGTTGTTAATTTCTGGTGTACAGAAGTAGTGATTCAGTTATACGTGCATACTCTCATATTTTTTTCAATTATAGGCCAGTACAAGATGTTGAATATAGTCTCTTGTGCTGTACAGTAGGGCTTTGTGTATCTATTTTATGTATACTTCCCCATATGAAAATAAACAGCTTCTGTTGAGATATAGTGCACATACCACAAAAGCTACTAGTTTTAAGCACAACTCAGTAAGCTGACAGAGTTGTGCAGCCATCGGTGTAATCCAAATTTCGGATGTGTCCATCACCCCTAGAAGACCCCTCGTGCCCAGGTACACCCACATTATTGTGAAGCAGCTCTCATCCCATGTTTTAACTCATCCACAGATACTTCAGGGTTGCCGGGCACTACCTGCCTGTCCTGGTGGCATCTGCTAAGACGCCCCCCACCCCCGCCCATGTCCGCCCCCAGTGCAAACGCCGGCGCTCAGTGCTGCGGCCCTGCAACACGGGAGCCGAGGGCTGAGGGGCAGTGACTGCAGAGAAGAGGCCATTTTCACAGCGGTGCTGCGGAGAGTCCAGCTCTGCACACGTTACTGAAGGCCTCCTCTGTGCCGGGCACGGGGGATATAGCAGGAGATACAGCAGGGAATTCGTCAGGGGCCCTGCCGGGTGCTCACAGGTAAACTGTGCACAGTTAGGGACCCACCGGGCGGCAGCAGCCTTGGCTGGGCTGTGCGCTGAACAGCCAGCTCGTCTCGAACCACAGCATCGCTCTGGCCCGATCTGTGCGTGTGTTTGACACAGCTTTCCTGACGCCCCTTGCCTCTGGGGTTGAAGCCCACACTTTCTTCAGATGCACAGGAGAAATGTTGAGGGACTGGTCTCCTCCTGCGTGTGGAAGGGAGGACCCGGCCGTGGTGATGCTTTCACCTTCCTCTACCCACCTGTCTGTCCCGTCTGAGCTCGCGTAGGCCTGGCCCTGCTCAGTGCCAGGAACACAGGGGGCTTCAGGAATGGGCTGTGAAACTGTATCCATTCATTCACTCGTTCATTTATTCAGCAAATCCCTGTGTGGAACCCCTGTACCATTCAGGGTTCTGGGCACGGGGGAAACAACAGTGAACAAAACAGATCGGAGCCCCCATCATCGCAGGGGCTTGCGATCGGGGGTGATGGACGATAACCGACACACAGGTGAAATACAGAGCTTGCCGGCTGATGAGAAAGGCTCTGAAGCAGAATAAGGGGTGGGGGGAAGCGACTATAGATGATAAAATACTTATCTTTTTAAAAGCAGGGTGTAAAGTTATGTATAGAGTGTAATCCAGTCTTTGAAAAGGAAAAATAATTCGTAAGTGCTCAAAACATCCGTATGTGGAAAGAAATGCCCCCAAATGCCAGGAGTGGTGGTGATCTCTGAGATGTAGGATTAGGGGTGACTTGTTTTCTTAAATAGGCACTTCCCTGAATTAATTTTTCTCTAATGAACAAGTATTGATGAGGTAATTAGAGCAACCCTGTCATTTAGGCAGCTGATCTGGCATGGACCCCTTTTCCAACAGGCCCACCTTTCTGAGTTTGAGCCCCAGAGCCCTTCCCCCCAGGGGGAGGGAATCTGAGTCAGGGCAGGGGTCCTTTTTATCATACAGAGTCCCCCAGACTGTTCCGTGTTCGCTCCCTGTGGGAACCGGACAGAAGATTTGAGCCCTTGGCTGAAAACAGAGGCCAGGAGCCAGGAGGGGGTCCTGGAGAGGAACAAGCAGGTCCTGGGGCAGCAGGGCAGCGTGGTGGTGGGGAAGCAGGGATGCGCATCCTCACTCCGGGGGCCCAGCCGGCTCCTCAGCCCTGCTGTGTGACTTTGAGCAAGTCACTTAACCTCTCTGTGCCTCATTTTCCTTGTAAAAGGATGGTGACAGTATTAACTTCCTAGAACGGTTGTAAGGATGAACTTGATTAAAAATCAAGCACTTAGCCCCTGGCTGGGTGTGGCCTTTGTGGAGCATCAAGTCAGGGAGGGCCAAGGTGACAGAAAGAAAATCCAAGAGACAGGTGGCGGCTGAGCATCCCACCAGACAGTGCCCCACAACAGTGCATTGTCCAGGTCAAAGTGTCAGGTTGAGAACCCCGGGGTCAGAGGAAGCTGCAGCCAGTAAAGGGAAAGGGCGGATCTATATACCTGCCAAGACGTGTTACATCTCCAAGACGTGTCAGAAAGAATGCTTTTTACATCATATTATGTGATCTTTATAATACAAGAAAAGGGAACAAGTGAATCTGTAAAACGACTGAATGATCCCTTATGGCGCATGGTGTCCATGAGGTGGCACAGGGCCACGTCCTGGTGGTGACCCGTGGGGGCCTCCCTGCACCCCAGGGCAGCACTCGGCCAACGCTGGAACATGCCAGACTCTCTGCCTGCCCGCCCAAGGCCAAGCAGTCCTTGACGGGCCCGCTTCCATCTCCAAATCCCGTTTCCCATCACTGACTTTTGAACGAGCCTGGCTTCAGCCCCTGAGTTCTTCCAGAAGGGCCTCTTAGGGTTGGTCTGGGGCCTCTTGGTGTTGCCTTTCATCCGTTACTTTCCCTGGCCCTCACTGAAACAGTGTTCCAAGGTCAGACTAGAAATCCTGCAAGCGGGTGGGGTGGGTGACCTGTGGCACCTGGCACCGGGCTCTCCAACAAAAGGTGTCCGGTGCCACCTTCAGCCAGACGCAGGCTTGTTCCACGCCAGGACGTGAGGGGGTCAGGGACAGGCGTGCTGAGGGGCCCTCCCCGAGCGCAGGGGCCCCCGAGGCCCCCAGGGGTCATCTCCTAAGTCCACCTGAGACTTCAGAATTCCGAGTCTTCCTGGAGGGAGACCCACCCAGGCCGAGGGGCACCTGGCCGTACCCTTAGGACCAGCCTGTCTTAGCTCCAGAGTCTTCTCTGGGGACAGTCCTCTCTCTCAGGTGAAGTTCAGTTTGCTTTGTCTCCTGTGAACTGGAAACCCATGGCCACTTTCACAAAAACCATTTCTTCTTTCTAGCAAGAACTCTGAGAGAACAGTCAGGAAGGACACGGTTTTAGGGAAGGAGGTGGTTTCTAATCAGAGGTTAAGCCAGTGAGACTGAACAGGGCCACGGCGGTCCTGGGGCCTTGCTTTGCACTGAGGGTCCTCACCAACATTGCTTTCCTTTTGCTGCTTTACAGCTGATGTACAGCAAAGTGAATCAGTTACATACATATATTCCTTTTCAGGCTCTTTTTCATTCTAGGCCATTACCAGATACTGAATACAGTTCCCTGTGCGCTACAGTAGGTCCTTGCTGTTTATCTATTTTATACATAGTAGTTTGTTACCTACAAATCCCGAACTCCCAATTTATCCCTCCACTCCCCCCCCGCCCTCCTCCAGTAACTGCGTTTTCTAGGTCTGTGTGTCTGCTTCTGTTTTGTAAATAAGTTCATTTGTGTCATTGTTATAGTTTCCGCATATACATGATTTTCTTTATTTAAATATAGTCGGTTTACAGTGTTGTGTTAGTTCCTGGTGTGCAGCAGGGTGACTCAGTTCTGCATGTGTCATGTTCTTTTTCATCATTGGCCATCACAAGGTATTGAATACAGTTCCCTGTGCTCTACAGTAGGACCTTGTTGTTTATTTTTAATATAGTAGTTAGTAGCAACATTACTTTTAAACTCCTGGTCATTTATGTTAGATACTTTATTTTCAACTAGCAAGACAGTTCATTGTAAAAGAAAAACCTGTATGAGAGGAGCTAGGAAGACATCCTGAGGGACAGGTTCGTCCTTCTGATGGTGACGTCAGTCTAAACAGAACCGTATCTGTCTTCCAGAAGCCTCCAGCCTTCTTTGCTTCGGTTTCTCTGACCAGAACAGGGAGACGTCCTGAGAGGGCTGGTGGGGCAGGGGGCGCCCCCACCCCAGGCCTTGTCTCTCGTTGTCTTCCCATTGTCTCGTTCCTTTCTGGCTGCCCCCAAATCATCGATCTAGGTGATTCAGGGTCTTGAGCATCTGCGGAGGTTACCGCCTGGAAGAGTTCCTGGAAAGTGTTGAGTCAGTCAACACTCTCTTTTCTGAGCGCTCTAGCTAAGATGCTGGCTAGCTAAAGAACCACTCCTCGGGCAAAAGGAAGCTTTCAGGAGCGTGTGCAAACACACACCACCCACTGTGTAAATGAGATTGTCCAAATGGGGCTTTTCTAAAGAGCCACACATGGTGGGCGGCCCCAGGCCCAGTGGTCAAAATCCGGGAAGTCTTACTTCACCGCGGGCTCGAGCAGGGCACTCCACCCCGGGGCGCGGAGGGGAAGGCCTGCCCAGGCGCCTTCTGTTGGTGGGGAAACTCCCAGTTATCTGTGTCACCACCAGAAAGAGCAGACCCTGTCACAGATGAAGAGTTGTAAAAATTATTCTCATCTTTGCATTAAATGAGGTGCAAAATTACTTCTCTGCCTAGGAATCACACTGCATAATCCTGGGTTATTTGCATTGTAAGGCCGGCCTTGAATAAAAACCCCAGCATGTGTGTGTGAGGGGGCCAGTGCCAGGCCGGGGGACCCCTGGACTTCCCGGGGAGACGAGGCCTGGAAACCGGGCTGGTGAGGCAGCAGAGCTCTGACCGGCACCACACTCCTGAGTGGAGCACAGCCTCCCCTGGAGCTTGAAAACAGCCTCAAGGTGTGAATCGTTATATTACTGTGGCCGGCTGGAGAGGAACCGAAAAAATGGAAATACTCACATTGCTCATTAGCAAAGGGAAACATGCAAATGTCGAGGGTCCCTCTGTCAGAGCCGCACTCCTGCTCTGATCTGTGGAGCAGAACACTGCACCTCGGCAGGCTTCAAGCTCAGAGTCCTCTCGCTGCTGTACCTGTTACCGAGGACCTTGGTGGAATGCGGGCAAATGAGGGGCTTGAGGAAACAGAGCTTCAAAAAAAAAATTAACAGTTAAATCTCTTTTTTAAAATTCAGTTTGCAGGGGAGGTTGTTAGGTTTGTTTATTTTGATGGAGGTGCTGGGGATCGAACCCAGGACCTCATGCATGCTGAGCATGCACTCCACCACTGAGCTGTACCCTCCCCTAATCTCTTTTTTTTCATTGAAGTAGAGTTGATTTACAATGCTGTGTTAGTTTCAGGTGGCAGTAAAGTGACTCAGTTATACATATATATATATTCTTATGTTTTTTCAGATTCTTTTCCATTATAGGCTATTACCAATATGTTGAATAGAGTTCCCTAGGCTATATAGTAGGACCTTGTTGTTTATCTATTTTATACATAGTAGTGTGTATCTGTTAATCTCAGACTCCTAATTTCTCCCTCCTTTCCCCTTTAGTCACCATAATGTTTCTATGTCTGTGAGTCTATAGGAAATAGAGCACTTTTAGCACTGGCCACTTGAACCAGCATTAGATCCGTTTTGGGATGTGACCCTTGTTGTAGACTCACATTCTCTGTAGTAAGGTTTCTTGGCTGCAACCCAGCAGTTTGAGGGCCACACGGGAGGCCAGACAGTCCTTTGTTACCGGAGCTGTCTTGTGCACTGTCAGCGTCCCCCTGCAGCTGGGATGACCAGGAATGTCTCTGGACATCACCAAATGTCCTGTAGGACACAAAATCAACACACCCCCCTCGGAGAATCACCGTTCTGTAGGGAAGAGGCAGTGTACAATATCTGACCTTTGTCCTACATTAGCTGTGCTTTTAAAATAGACCCTAAGATTTTACATATGTCTACCACCTGCGTTTACTGGTTTATTCCGTGTAGGGTGAACAAACAAGACTATTCTCATGAGCGGCCTTCACAGAAACTCAGAATCTTCTCTCCCCTCATCCCATAGGTCTCCCACGTTCTAGTAATTTACCTGACCCGTTCACTCATTAATAGGTCGTTAATTCACTCACTCTGCACGTCCATTCATTCCTGCAGCAGTGCACTCAGCAAGCTCCCGCCGCAGCCCAGTGGTGAGCGAGCAGCACCTCTAACCAGCTGGTAACACACCCGCCGTCCTCAGCTTGTCTGTGGTGAGTGAGGGTTACTGTCATCTGACGTGGAGGAGCACGGTCCCTGGAGTCAGACAGAGATAGGTTCAAACCCCACCTCCGCCGCCTACAAGCTGAGTCGCCTTGGGCGAATTATTGAGCCTGTGAGCCTTGGTTTCCCCAAAGGAATGTGGGAGCGATTCCAGCGACCGGCCGAGTGCTGGGAAGCCTCGATGAGATGGTATATATCAGGCATCAGTGAACAGGAACTCACTCTCTGCCAGCGGGTAGGCTGTACATGTGAATCGCCATCTTGTGCGGGTCAAAAACAGTCAAACGTTGGCAGCTCTCCAGAGTTCAGCCTACTCTGCAAGCCTGAGGTCCAGTGTCGCACGGACTCTGAGGTCCAGCAGGTAAGTGGCGAGGTCCTGCTTGTCATTTCCAGCATTCCGGCCGTGTCTGCGTTCACCGTGGCGCATTTCCCAAACTTGGCCTGCGGGAAGTGGCACTCTGCCGGCCTCGAGCCAGCTGGTGAGGAGTGACCTGGGTTGTTGCGGTCCGCAGTTTCCTGTTGGTGGCATGGGTCCCTGACGTCTGTGTCTGCGTCCCAGGTCTCGCTGCTGATCGCCTTCATCTGCGTGAGGAGCTCTGTGTGGACCAGCTACAGTGCCTACAGCTACTTTGAAGTGGTCACCGTCTGCAACTTGATAATGATCCTCGCCTTCTACCTGGTCCACCTCTTCCGTCTCTACCGCGCGCTCACCTGCATCAGCTGGCCCCTGTCGGTAAGGAGTCAGGTGTCAGCTGGGCCCCCGAGACCCTGCCCGCCCCCCTTTCACCATCCTCCGCTGCTTCAGCTCTGTGCTTCCCACCCTGCAGCGGACGTCCCGCTGGTTTCTAAAACTCACCTTCCAGCCTCTGTGCCTCTCACCTCGGTCTTCCTGTCTCCTGCGTTAGAAAGTGGGCTGCGAGTGCGTGAGCTGGAGGAGGAGCACGGAAGGGAGATGCGGGTGGTGGTCTACGCGGTTGTCCGCTAAGTAGACTGGGGGAGTCTGAGGAAGGATTTCAGAAGCTGCCAGAGCCTTTTCTTCCTACTATTTTAAAAAAGTTTTATGGGTATATAGTTCACATGTCATACAAGTACCCATTTGAAGTGCCCAATTCGATGGATTCTAGTATAGTCCTGAGTTGTGCAACCCCCACCTCGGTCATTTGTGGAACCTTTTCATCACCTCAAAGAGAAACCCTGTACCTGTTAACCTCCTGCCTCACCCCCTCCAGCCCCCAGCAACTACTGACCTACCTCTGTCTTCATAACTTCTCCTACTCTGCACAGTCCATGTAATTTCACGTGAATGGAATCTTATGTGTGGTCTTCTGTGACTAGCTTCTTTCACTTAGTAGAGTGTTGCCATGGTTTCTGTGTTGTCGGCGTGTATCAGTTCACTTTTTGCACTTAATATTCCAGTGAAAGGACACACCACATTTTGCTTATTCATCCATCACTGATGGACATTTGGGCTGTTGCCACCTTTTGACTATTACGAATCACGCTGCCATAAACATTCATGTGCAAGTTTCTGGTAACCTTTTTGCTTTAAAATCTGTTTTGTCTGGTACTGGTTTAACCAGTCTGTCTTTTGGTTGTTGTTTGAATGACATATCTTTTCCATCTCTACTTTCAATCTATTTGAATCTTTGAATGTGTGTCGTGCATACAGTCTGACCTCTTTTTCTCTTTTTAATTGAAGTATAGTCTGTTTACAATGTTGTTAATTTCTGGTGTACAGCATAGTGATTCAGTTGTGTATACATATATGTATATATATATATATTCCTTTTCATATTCTTTTTCGTTATAGGCCATTACAAGGTACTGAATATAGTTCTGTGTGCTCCACAGTAGGTCCTTTTTGTTTATTATATATATAGTAGTTAGTATCTGCTAATCTTAAACTCCCAATTTATCCCTCCACTCTCCCCAACCTTTGCCTTTTACATCGCCTGACAGCTTTGCTTCTTGATTGGATTGGGTTGTTTAATCATTCATATTTAACGTTATTACTCACTATATTATTTTGAGAGAAGTTTCTTTGGTGTTCATGAGTCACAAGGCCCCTTTCAAAGTTATGGGACCTTTCTCCTCCTTTTGAGAACCAACCCCTCTGGGCCCCTCTGATGCTGGTAATGAACAAGCAGAGGAGAAACGCTAGGGGAGGGGAGCGGGGCGGCAGGGGGCGGTGAGTGGGGGCGGGCTAGGCGCACACACGTCCTGGCCCAGCACTGTTGGGCGTCTTCCATTCAGGACTCTCTCCTGTCAGTCTTCCCCACCCCGTGGCACACTCCTCTTTCCTCGTGGGTGATAACCTTGGAGGCAGGGAACGTCCAGTTACTGCTCAGCTCTTCAGTCAAAATCTCTGGTCTGCCTGGTGCTAGTCCTTTCTGGCCACTAAGGGGGAAGCCAGGATCTTTGATTTTGCACAGCTCTAGGAGGAGCTGCAGCTTAAAGTTGGATGCTTTCCCCAAATTTCACAGCTGCCTGTCCTGATGGGCAGAACCTCAGGAAGGAATAACCTCTCAGTTCTCATCAAAGACAACAGAAAATGAGCATGGTCAAAACCCTGAGCCCCGGCTCTCCTCCGACCTGGTGTTGAACAGGGAGGAAGGAGGCGGTGAGGCCCTGTCTCGCTGATGCGTGACACAGGCCCCGCTCGTCCTGGCAGCAGATCCCAGGTTATGGTGGAGAGAGAATGGGCGGAAGGGGACGCCCGGTGGACCACAGGGAGGCAAAGGCCGAGCGGGCCCTTCCTGCAGAGGCCTCAGCTGTTTGGCCTGAGGGCACAGTGGCCCTAGGAGAGAAGAGACAGAGGGAGGAACGAGAACTCTGGTTCACAGAACAAGCAGACCCTCCAGGCAGCCACTGAAGCCAGGACAGTGCTAACCCAGAACTTTCTGGGAAGCAGGAGTGAAGGCACACATCTCCGTCAGGGGCTTTGCTTCTCAGAGCTGGAGCCCCCTTTAAACTCTGCAGCCTGGGCGTTGCGAGCAGCTTGTTTGGTTTTTAGTAGCTTTGGCCGGAGGTCAAGGTGCCACCGGCAGGCTGACCTCAGGAGTCGGGCAGTCCTTAGTGGGTCTCTCCTCCCTCGAGAAGCATCCTTTCTCTCTGTCACCTCTCTTCCTGCCTGTCCCTCTCTCCTCTCTCGCTTGGCCTCTCCCGGGCCAGCCCTCCTCCCTTGTCTGAGCTTCGCAGCTCCTGTTGGGTGCTCTGGGGAGAAGAGGAAACGCCCCTCCCCTCCGTTCATCTCTCCTGATGCCCAGCTGCCCCTGGGAGCTAGGAGTGGAGCTTCCTACCCACTGCTCTGCTTTGTTTTGCCCCCAGGAACTCCTGCACTATTTAATCGGTACCCTGCTCCTCCTCATCGCGTCCATCGTGGCGGCCTCCAGAAGTTACAGCCATAGCGGACTGGTGGCTGGAGCGGTGAGGACACTCCCGGGGAGGCTTCAGGAGCGAATTCTTGTTCCCAGTGCTCGTTTTCTCCTCACGGGGCAGCAAAGGGCTTGTTCTCCAGGGTCTGTCTTTCTCAGAGTCAGTACCCACCTTGATCGACCAGCAGCAGTTTCCAAAGAGCCTTGAACCGAGGGTGTCAGCAGGTGGGTCAGCAGGGCTGTTGGTAAACTAAAACGGCCCGTGGTCCAGGCCTCTCTCATGGCCACTGCTAAAATCGAGGGGCAGGTAGGTTTCTCAGCCCTGCGCAGAGAAAGGTTCTGAGGCCGCTTCTGGGCCCAAAGGAGCAGTGCTGTCCTCAGCTTGTGGTACCTGCCGTGAGTCCCAGCTGTGCCCTTGCTGACTTTTAACTGCATCGAGGCCAGGAAATGACACTTCTGTACCTCTTAGAGGTGAAAACTGATTCATCTGCTAGCCCGGAGAGAAGCAGCATGAAAGTGCACAGAAACACAGTGCTGTGGGGGCGCCCTCTGCTTACCGCGCCAAGTGCTCACAGATACACAGAAGCGTCTGTACGTTATTTTTTAGATTTGTAGGTTCCTGTCATGCGATTTCTGATTTAGCTAATTGTGTTTGCAGTTTGGTAGCCTGTGGGCCAGAACTGGTTTGCCTCACTGATGAGCAGGCAAAATTTTAAAAATGAGTTTTAAGAAATGGTCTCTGTGTGAGTCACTCCTGACCACATGGTACCAAAATTCTCTTGACTTTGGGCTGAGAGTAGGTTAGTGCCTGGAACTGCATGGAGGGGGGCAGTGTGGAGGGGCAGCCTAACCTCTGGCCACTCATGCCCCTTAACGGCCTCCCCCCAGCCCTTGTCCCATCCCACCCTGGGCAGTCACCGGGAGGAGGGGTGCTTGGCAGCTGTAGGGTACCACGCGCCCCCTGCAGGCTGGCTCCGGGACGTGGAGAGAGGTTTCAGGACTGCGTGGGGAGATTCCCAATGGCCTTTATGATTCACATTGCACGTAACGGTGTTGGCCCTGGAATGCCAGCAAATCTCGTTTGTCACACAGCATCTCTGTGTCCTGGACCAAGTCTGGGCTGGGGGAGCCAGAGGGAATAGAAAGAGAAGCCCCTGGCTCATGAGAAAGTGCCGACCTAGCTTAGGAGTCGAGGCCAAGGCACATGAAGCAGTGAACCACCAGGGCACTGGCGTCCCGGACAGCACTGCGCAGCCCTGTGATAAACTGCTCAGCCATGCAGCGCAGACAGCTGGAGCCCGGGATGGCCTACAATGTGCTGACTGTGCAGGACAGACAATGAGAGGCTGGGATGGGCTCTAACAGGCTGATTACGTGGTGCAGACAATTGGTGCAGTAGGAGCCAAGGCAGTGGCCGAGGCGGAGCTGCATGTGAAAACCCCACAGCCAGGCCTGAGAAGAAAGCCAACCTTGGAAAATCCTGCCTTGTCCTGGCTGCTCCCGGTCTGCCGGACGGGGAGGGGCTCCTGGCTGTGCACCCAGCGAGCCTGACGACACGTGGGCAGCACACGGAGTGGAGGTGGACTCAGATTCCGGAGTCACCCTCGCCGGCGCTGTGGCCTCAGGCTATGCAGTTGACCTCCTGTCCCTCGTTTCTTCTGCTGTAAAAGGGGAGAGGGGGCTCACAGCGCCCGCCCGGCAGAGCTATGAGGGTGAACGGGAGGGCAGCTTAGAACACTGCTTGGTGCGGACACGGTCAGGCCTCAGGACCTCGCAGCGGCTGCGGCTGCGGCTGACGCGTCAGGAAAGGCTGCCGAGGTCCCGGCGAGACACCAGAGTCCATGTCTGCTGCTCATCATTTGATGAGCCTCCCGGGAGGCCCTCTTTCTCGCCTACAGAGGATGAGGCTGCGCTGGACTCGGTCCTCACAGCCTAGAGAGGAAAGGCGTGCCACCTGAGCTCGCTCAGTCCAGTATTACCCAACTAGGCGCAAACCTAACACCCGCTCCCAAGGCCCAGCTCCTGGCTCTGATACAGCTGTGCAGCCCTTGTGGATGAAGTGCAGACAGGGCAGCCACGCTTAAGACCCCAAAATAAAATGTACAGTTCCTCCTTTTTCTTTCCCGTTTGCCCAGGATAAAGTCCAGGGCCTTGGCCCCAGCTAAGTAATAAACTTAAAACTCTAGAGAAGAGCCCTGGGGAGCCTGGCTGCGTCCCAGCTGGGGCTGGGGTGGGCCTCGCCTGTGCGCCTGAGCCAGGACAGGTGACCGGCTCAGATGAGGCCCTGGTCGGTGCAGGAACGGGCACAGACAGGAGCAGCGGGAAGGGCTGCCCGAGTGGCTGGCCTGGGCACCTCCTCTCCCCTCTCTCCATGCAGATCTTCGGGTTCCTGGCCACCTTCCTCTGTCTGGCGAGCGTGTGGCTGTCCTACAAGATCTCCTGTGTGACCCAGTCCACCGGTGAGTTGTGGTCTGACACATGACCTGTGAATGCTCCCTCCGCTCGGGAACAGGAGGGCAGGCTCCGGAGCTCAGCAGTGGGGACCGCCCTGCCGCAGGGGCCGGAACCCAGGCACCTCCACTCCAGGCCCGTGTCCACCGTGCCCACCACACCTGAACATCTCGGTCTCTGTCGGTGAAGCGTTACGTTTAAGGAAGCTTCCCAATGACAAGAATAAAATGCAGTGCGTTTAGAAAATGGAAATAAGAAAGAAATCATTTTTTAGTAAA